AGCATGTAAGAATCCCAGCAAAACTTTGAAATGAACAAAAAACGAATTGATAAAAATCGACAAGAATATGAATTTAAAGTGGGCGACCAAGTCTATATCCAGAATGGTAATAGACTCAACCGAAGTAAGATGGATAAAATAAGAGTTGGTCCGTTTAAAATTCTCAAGAAAGTTTCTTCATCGATTTTTGAAGTAGACTGTGGAAGAAAAAAAAAAACAATCTAATCTTTTTCATATTAACAAATTGTCACTTTATATTCCTCAAAAAGTAACGTGAAGGGGGGAGATGTAAATGTAACCACATTTATGTATTTATTTCATATCTATGATATTCAATATCTTTGTTATATGTTTGATCTTTGTTTGGGTTTCGATAAATGTGCTTCGATAAATGTGCTGCGATGAATGTGCTGCACCACGTGATTGACATATTTTATAATTTATTTGATTTATGAGTTTCGTATGAATAAGCCTGTAATTGATTACTGTTTTACAGGTATGTTTTCTTTAATTTATATCTCTGTATTATTTTATATTATTTGATTATATGACATTTAATTTGTTTGAATAAACTGTTTTACAGATTAATAAATCAGGTTTTATTTAGAAACAATCTTACATGTATATAACAAATACAAAAACACAAAATAGAAAAAATGGACATGGGAATCACCAGATGGAAAAACAACGAACATGATAGATTTGATTTTGATTGAACAGAAATGGATGAAATTTGTTACTCAGTGCCGTGCTTTTCCAAGTGCAGAGATTGGATCAGATCATCGTCTAGTGTTATGCAACGTCAAGATGAAAATAACGAAAAGACCAAAGTCAGGCGAAAATATCAAGAGTGAAATATAGCACAGAAATGATAAAAGAGAAGTTGAAAGACATCAGAAATGTAATAGAAAACAAATTGGATACAAAAACAAAGTACGATATGAAAACGAGAGTCAGTAACTTGGAGAAAGTGCTTAAGACTGCAGCCGAAAAATGCTAAGTAGGGAAAAACATAATAAAACCCTGGATAAGTGATGAAACTTGGCAACTCGTAGAGGATAGAAGACAGTTGAAAGCAACAAAAAGACAAAACAACGAAAATGAGATGAAATATAAACAACTGTGTTGCAAAATAAAAAAAAGTGCCAGAGCAGATAAAAGAAGAAGATGGATAAACGATAGATGCGAAAAGGTAGAAGCACTAGTTGGACAAAACAAAACAAGAGAGGCGTATCAGCTAGTCAGGCGGTTAAAAGGAAAACTGAAAAATACGTCAAGGATTATTAAAGACAAGGATGGAAATGTTCTAACTGAAGGCCAACAAATCAAAGATAGGTGGTCGGAATATATCAAAGACCTGTTCACAGATAAAAACACGTATACAAAGGAGGTGTTACAGGCTTTAAAAGAAAGAAAAGCAGTCAATGAGGAAGAAACGGAAATAACATTGGAGGAAGTAATGAAAGCAATGAAGAAAATGAGGAACAACAAGAGCACAGGGAGAGACGGAATTCCCATAGAGCTGATCAAAGCGGGAGGACCAATTGTATGTAATGAGATTCACAAAATCTGCCAAGAAATCTGGAACAGTGGAAAATGGCCAGAAGATTGGTGTAAATCAATCTTGATCATGTTGCCAAAAAAAGGAGACCTGAAAGACTGCAACAACTACAGATCAATAGCACTGATCCCTCATATGTGCAAGATCATGCTGACGATCTTGAAAGAACGATTGGAGAAAGACATAAAGCAGCATTTAAGAGAGGAGCAGGCAGGTTTCAGAAAGGACAGAAGTACAGTCCAGCAAATCCTGATGTTGAGACTATTGTTGGAAGATGCAGGAAGCAGAGGTCAAACAACTTTTCATTGTTTTGTGGATTTTAAGAAGGCGTTTGATTCAGTCTGGCACGAAGGTTTGTGGGCAACTTTGGAAAGTATGGGAGTGTCAATAAAAATGGTAAGGGTGCTGAAAGGTCTTTATGAGGAGTCAACAATGGCGGTAAAGGTAGGTACAGAGCTGGGAGACTGGATCAAAGCGAGCATAGGAAGTAGACAAGGAGATCCAATATCACCATTATTGTTCTTAGCACTGTTGGAAAGAGCCTTGGAAAAAATGGAGAATGCAGATATTGAGGGAATCGACATTGGAGGCAGAGTGATAAGGGACCTCAGGTTTGCAGATGATATAGATCTGCTAGCACCTAGTGCAGAGAGTCTACAGAAACTGATCGAGTTGACGTACGATGGTGGAAGAAACCATGGACTACACATCAACAGCAGTAAGACAAAGATAATGATTTCGGAAACAGGTGGAAACAATGATGAATTCCAGATAGGAGGAGAAATGCTCGAACAAGTGAACCAATTTATATATCTGGGCAGCCTCATAACTGATGACAATAATTGTTCGAAAGAAATTGATAGAAGAATAGCAATCGCGAGAGGAATGTTTGCATCTTTGAAAGTAATATTGAAAAACGGTAATGTATCTACAAAAACAAAGTTAAAGATCGTAGAAGCGTGTGTGTTTTCTACATTGATGTATGCATGTGAGGCTTGGACGTTGAAGAAAAGAGACAAAGACAAACTGGAAGCATTCGAGATGCATTGTTATAGAAAGTTGCTGGGAATCAGCTGGAGACAAAAGATAAGAAACGATGCCATAAGAAAACAAACTTGGAAGACAAAAAACTGTGTATGAAAGGGTCAAGGAAAGAAAGCTGGGTATCTTTGAGCACATATGCAGAATGACAGACGACAGACTGATCAAAAAAGTACTGATGAGAAAGAGGGACTGGAAGAAAAAAGTTGGAAGACCTGTGAGGAAGTGGATGGATGATATCACGGAATGGACGAGGGTTGGAACATTGGGCTCAATGAAGATGGCGAGGGAAAGAAAAGGATTTTGGAGAGATAGAAGAATACCATCGGCCTCAACGGTCCCTTAAGGGACTACAGAGGATCATTGAATGAATGAATGAAACTCTACGTACCTTTAGAGCCAATTTTAAAACTAGTAAATTTTAAAAAACCAGATTAAAATATACTGAAAACACAGAGATTGTAGAGGTCATGCCTCAAGGGTTTAATAGTAATAGTAGTAATAATAATAATAACAATAATAATAATAATAATAATAACAATAGAAATAATAATAATAAAAATATGAAAATAATTATTATTATTATTAACTGATAGATGGATGACAGTTGTGGATTCATACGGTAGAAGGAAGAGTACATTTCCGATGACGACTCCATCATCTGTGGTTTGTCGCGGTGGCTATGGTGGTGGCGACGAAGACGACGATGACGATTATGATGATGAGGATGATGATGACAATGATGATGGTGACAATGACGATTATGATGTGATGCTGATGATGATGATGATGAGAGTTTCGATGATGGTGATGATGATGACGATGATGTTGATCGCTATGGAATTGATGTCCAGTTGAAGTTAATCATGTTATCATCATTATCAACATCATTATCACCGTCATCATCATTATCATCATCGTATATTATTTCCACCACAATAATTTCTAATTAGGCGAATGCAACAACCAAAGAAAAGGTGATATTATGTCCGTCAGCTCTCAACAACAACATCAACAACAACAACATCAACAACAACAGCAACAACAACAGCAATAACATCAGCAAAATATCGCCGAATAATTCCAGAGCATCGAAGACTCTTCAGTTTAAAGGTTTAATTAAATTATAATTATAAATAATAAACTAATTATGATTGTAATAACGATGTATATTATTATTCTTACATTTTAACCATCTGTTTATCTATTCATTCATCCATTAATCCATCTATCCATCCATTCATCCATCCATCCATTCATCCATCCATCCATCCATCCAACAATGCAGATGTTGCGGTTTTGAGAAACTTGATTAATGATGTCTCCATATCTCGAGGTTAACAATAGTAATGTATTAACTGGTGTTGATGACGATGGTGAAGTCGGTGGTGATGGTGATGATGATGATGACGATGACGACTGTAATCATTATCATTGTGATTTTTGTCCATAAGGCCATAATAGTAAAGAAAATTTAAACACGTTTCGTTTATTTATTCATTCACTCATTTATTTATTTCATTCACTCATTCTTTTATTCACTCACTCATTCACTCGCACACTATCATCACTATCTCTAACTTCAATTCATTTCTCACACTCAGCTCCGTCACTCTCTCCATCGACACCGCCTACGAAACGACAGCAGCTAGAGCTAAAACAGCCGCTAAAGCAACGACTACGCTCAGCTATAACATGTAGCGACTTCACCTGCTGCAAATGCTGGCATAAAACGCGCGCCATCGTCGAGCTATTCATTCTGGATGCATTTGTGGATCTATTTATTACGATCTGCATCGTACTGAACACACTATTTATGGCTATGGACCACAATGGAATGGAAGAAGGAATGGCGAAGCTCTTAAGTATTGGAAATTATGTTAGTCTGTGTTTGTCCCGTCTTTAACATCTTTCTTTATTGTCGAGAGTTAGCTTTCTGGCAGGTCCAAGCATGTGATGTGTTCGATTCAGACGTAGTTGTTTACATGAGGTCTCTCGTGTTGTCGTTGTTGGCTGCTCTATGAATACTTGTGACAATTAACATTACATATAGATCACTATCATAAAAACACACAGACACACACACACACAAAGACGCACACACACACACATACATACATACACACAAAGACGCACACACACACACATACATACATACACACACAAACACACACACACAATACATACACACACAAACACACACACACACATAATTAACACCACAAAATAGGTGTTCACAACAATATTTACAGCTGAGGCGATCTTGAAGATGTTTGCTCTGGGTATGTACAAATACACACGAGATAAGTGGAACTGTTTTGATTTGTTCATCGTGCTTTTGAGTCTCATCGAGTTAGGTGTGGCATTGTTGTTCATTGTTGTTTGTTGTTGTTATTGTTGTCGTTGTTGTTGTTGTTGTTCGTTGTTGTTGATGCTGTTTGTCGATGTTGTTGTTCGTTGTTGTTGTTGTTTGTTGTTGTTGTCGTTGCTGCTGTTTTTGTTGTTGTTGTTGTCGTTGTTGTTGTCGTTGTTGGTGTTATACAATTCACATACACATACATAAACACACATACACTGGTACTTACCTACACACGCATACACACACACACACAAACAAACACACACAAACGCACACACATACTGCCTAATTGAAATTTTATACCAAGACTACAAATTTTTTTTACCAAATGAGAAGTTCAAACAAGCTCCTAATAAGACATATAATAATCATATCAATATTCATCTGTCAATTTATTATTTTTATAATTATTATTATTATCATCATCATTATTATTATTATTATTATTTCAATTTAACCACCATAATAACAATAATAATTATTATTAAAAAAAGATAATTTTGTTATGATATTTTTTGCAGGTTTAACAAATGTTAAAGGCCTATCTATCTTTCGATCGTTCAGACTGGTTATTTTTATTATTATTATTACTATTATTACAATTACTATTACTATTACCAGTACTATTATTATTATTATTATTGTTATTATTATAGTTAGTTAAGGCATGCGTGACATGGTTTAATTCATGCAACAGAAATATTTTTCAAATAAAACAATACCAGAAAAAAAAATTTCTTGTATTTGTGTGTGTGTCTCTCTCTCTCTCTCCCTCTTTTTCTGTCTGTGTGTGTATGTGTGTCTCTCTCTCTCCTTCTCTTTCTGTCTGTGTGTATGCCTGTCTATTTCTCTCCTTCTCTTTCTGTGTGTGTAGTGGTGTGTGTGTGTGTGTTTGTGGTGTGTGTGTGTGTATGTCTGTATGTGTGTGTTTATTAAAACCCAGTCAATTAAAACAAATCAATCAGTTAACCAGCCAAACAATCAACCAGCCAACCAAACAATCAACCAGCCAACCAAACATCCAATCAAAACATGAAATCACGCACTAGCTACGAGTATTCAAGTTAGCGAAATCCTGGCCGACCTTGAATCTCCTAATTGGGATAATCGGAAGAACGATGGGAGCTCTCGGGAACCTTTGTTTCGTCCTGGCAATCATCATCTTCATCTTCGCCGTCATGGGAATGCAATTGTTCGGGGAGAACTACACAACGGATCATTTTCAGGAAGTCCCACGCTGGCATTTCAAGGATTTTCTGCACTCCTTCATGATCGTTTTCCGGGTTCTTTGTGGCGAGTGGGTTGAATCCATGTGGAATTGTATCCACTGTTCAGGAGTCGTCTGCGTCCCCTTCTTCCTACTGACCATGATCCTTGGAAATCTTGTGGTTAGTAGTTTGGCGGAAGTGCGACTACGTCATCGTCATCGTCGTCGTCATCATCATTATTTCCGCCATAAATAGTTCAAAAATTGAAATTTTAAATTATATTAAATTATTGCCCAGGTTTTGAACCTGTTTCTCGCATTGCTGCTCAGTTCATTCGGCGCTGAAAGTCTGCAGTCGTCGCAAGGTGGCCCCTACTCATCATTATGACGTCACCGTTATTATGACGTCATGGTTTTCATTCTCATCATCATTCTCGTCGTCATCGTCATTATTATCGTCTTAATCATCAACCGTGTTCATCATCACCATTGTAGTGATCATATTCGCGATTTATAAGCAATTGTTAAACCAATATAAAATATTATTAACATCATCAATATAACAGTTGTTGAATAATAATAATAATAATTATAATATAATAATTAAAATTATTATATTATATTTATAATAATTTTCAAAGGGGAGTCTGCGGAAACTAATAAGTTACCAGAAGCTATAGAGAGGATAACTCGTTTCGTCGTCTACATGAGAATGAGGGTCGTCTATTGTGTCCACTCGACGGTCAGTCCTTCCATAATTTAATAATTATATTTGTAATAATAATTATCGTTATTGTAGTTTTTATTATGTTATTATTATTATTTAATCTTTATTCTTTCTTTCTTTCTCTCTCTCTCTCTCTCTCTCTCTCTCTCTCTCTCTCTCTCTCTCTCTTTACTTTCTCTTTTTTCTTTTGTTTAGTCTTTCTTCCTCTCAGACTTTCAAAAAGACAGACAAACAGACGGACAGACAGACAGACATACATACATACAGACAGACAGACACGTAAATTACAATAAATAATTACGATAAATAATTATAACGATTAGAAAATAATTATTATACATAATTATTATAAAAAATAATTTCAGTTTTTCGGGCACGAGAGGGAATGGGTGAAGGACTCCTACCGGAATAACCTCTGGAGGGCTTCAGTCTTGGGGCACGCCTGGTCCCTGGACAAACCCCTAAAGATCGATAACCTTAAAAATAATTTTGCAGCTGCAGCTGATGGTGGCAACGACGATTGTGGGGCGGCTAAAGAGGGTGAAAATAATAAAAATGAATAATAATAATAATTATTATAATTATAATAATAATAATAATTTTATTATTACCACATGGTATAATTATTTTTTCATTTTTTTTCCAGCCGGTCTATATCCAACCCCTGTAGTATGTTTAGTACTAGATTTGTTATTTTTTTGGTGTATTTGCTTTCATTCATTCATTTGTTCGTTCGTTCATTCATTCATTCATTCGTTCTTTCGTTCGTTCTTTCGTTCGTTCTTTCGTTCGTTCATTCATTCATTCATTCATTCATTCATTCCATCCTTCCATCTAGTCACCGTTTCCGCCAGACGATCATGGCTCCTTAATTAAGTATGACGTCACATTGCTATCACCTCAGCGCGCCAATGATGAAGCCATCAGTCGTCATCATCGTCATCATCGTCAGCCCGATTCTAAAGATCATTATCAAGAGCATCAACATCGTCATCATCATCAACCTTCATCCCTTTCAATCACTCATTCATTACCACTATCTTCATCATCGTCATCATCGTCTTCGCCATCAATCTCTTCGTATGAGGAGAGTAACTTCTACTCACCTCACTCATCTGAGTGAGTAATTAACTTGGAACCAATTTCTTTTTTCCACTCTCTCTCTTTCCCTCTCTCTCTCTCTCTCTCTCTCTCTCTCTCTCTCTCTCTCTCTCTCTCTCTCTCGTAAATAAAGACGCACATAAACACGTATACCTATTTTCTATTCTCTTTTTTGTTCCCTTTCTTTCTCTTTTTCTCTCATTCTCTCTCTCTCTCTCTCTCTCTCTCTCTCTCTCTCTCTCTCTCTCTCTCTCTCTCTAATGGGAACATTAAAACTTGTTTACAATATACACAGATCCACGTCTGAGATGAGCGTGAAGATTTCATTTTACGACGACGACGATGAAGAAGAAGAAGAAGCTAGCAAACTCGACACCTGTGAAGTGAACAAATTAAGTGACGAAAACGATGACGTCATCGATGAAAAAAGCGAAGAAACTGGGTCAACCAATCAAGTCGAAGTACCCGAAATTAATGAGGTCAATGTGGTTTTCATCAAGTATCCAGATGAATGCTGTCCGAAGTAGGTGGGGTTTGGAAGGGTCGGTGGACGGGGTTTCGCTTGAAGTTTCAACCAATCAAACCCAGTTTTGAGTCGATTGTTAAAATAATAATTACTACCATTATTAGTTATTTCTCATCCAACCACCAGATGTATAACAGCCAATAAGATGATGTGTTGCTGGCGGGAAAGAAGTAGTGATGGGCAGAGTTGTTGCGCCTACATCAACACTTCCTGCTTCGGAAAGATATTCTGGAAACTTCGATGTTTGGCATATTCTCTGGTGGAGCATAGATACTTCGAGACTTTCATCATTGTCATGATCCTGTCGAGTAGTATTAGTTTGGTTAGTACTTATACAACCACTTGAAGTAAAAAATTTTATTGTTAAGAATTGAACTATACACACTCCACAAATGACCTGCAATCAACGTACATAGGCCATCGAAGATAAAAACATTGAGGACCGCAAGACGATCAAGTTCGTGCTGAAGGTCCTGGATAGAACCTTCTCCATCATCTTCATTTTTGAGATGTGCTTCAAAATTTTGGCCTACGGTTTCCACAAATATTTCACCGACGCCTGGTGCTGGCTGGATTTCATCATCGTTTTTGTGAGTTTGGATTAGAGGCGGGCGGGAATTGAAATTTCGTCCCAATTTCTTTTCATTTTTTTCTCATTCCCGATACTCTCCCGAATTCTCATTTATGACAGCGTTCCAGAAAATTCCTACTCTCAATTTTGTAACTCATTCCCAAGTTTTTCCTCCCATTCTCTTCCGATTTTTATTTCCCCCATAGAGTTTATGTAGAGTTATATAGAGTTGAATAGAATTAACGTGCACATGTGTGCCTATGTGTATAAGTCGACCACATGTGTACTAGTATAAATTCAATCAAAATCAAATCAAAAATACTTTTTATTTACCAGAACATAACACAAACAAAAAGAAAGTAAATATATATATATATATATATTTATATATATAAGCTTTTATTTTCGCACCTAGATGAAATTTTTCTCACTTTTTCCAATCCCCGCCTGTCATTCTCGAGCTGTGATTCCTTATTTCCTAACATTCCCATTCCCAAAAAATTAAGTTTTACCGATTCCCGTGGGATTCCCGCGATCCCCGTTCCCATGCTCACCTCTTGTATGGATCCGTGGCTGATGCATTTTTTATATGCGTTTGAACATTTTTTTTAATCTAAATGTTTTGAAATTGAAATGATTGTATTAAAAATGTTTATGATAAGCCATAGCTAACTACAAAACATAAACAATCAATCAATCAATCATTCAATCATTCAATCAATCATCCGAACATTCAATCAACGAACCATCCAACAGATATCCATAATAAGTTTGTGTGCAGAAGGGGCTGGCATGGGTAACATTGGGGCATTCAGGGCCCTTAGGACGTTGAGGGCCTTAAGACCTTTGAGAGCTGTGTCTAGATGGGAGGGTATGAAGGTCAGTCAATCGGTCATTTGGACGTGGTTTTTTTTACCATTATTTCTTAATTTCAATTCTTTGTTATTTGCAATCTTCTTCTAAATTCAGCGTCGCCGTGAGCTCATTCTGGCATCAAATTAACATACATGTCGGACCAGTATTATGTAATTTCTAGAGTTAACATCATCAATTCATTAATTCATTCCTTAATTCATTCCTTAATTCATTCCTCAATTCTTCAATTTATTAATTCATTCATTAATTCATTTGTTAATTAATTAATTAATTCATTCATTCATTCGTTCATTCATTCGTTCGTTCGTTCGTTCATTCGTTCGTTCGTTCATTTATTCATTCATTCATTCATTCATTCATTCATTCATTCATTCATTCATTCATTCGTTCGTTCGTTCGTTCATTCGTTCGTTCGTTCGTTCATTTATTCATTCATTCATTCATTCATTCATTCATCCATCCATTCCTTCATTCATTCATTCATCCATTCATTCATTCACACATAAAAATTCAAACCAATCAGGTAGTAGTGAACGCCCTTATTCAAGCCATTCCCGCGATTTGCAACGTCCTACTCGTCTGTCTGGTTTTCTGGCTCATATTCAGCATCATGGGCGTCAATCTATTCGGCGGTCGGTATGCCGGTTGTATCGACCGGAATACCGAGAAGTTACTGAATGTCTCGATAGTCGCAAACGAGTCTCAGTGTTTGGAGTTGAGTTATTACAATTACTCTTGGGTCAACCCCAACATCAATTTTGATCACGTCCTAGTGGCTTATCTGGCGCTTTTTCAAGTTGTTAGTGGAAGTCTAGAAAATTTTGTTTTGTGTGTGTGTTTGTGTGTGTGTGCGTGTTTGTTTGTGTGTGTGCGCGTGCGTGTGCGTGTGTGTGTGTGTTGAGATATAATAAAAACCATTTTTTTACCCGCATATATTTGTTCATTCAAGTAAAAATAATGAATGAATCGTCGTCATTAAATATAACATCACTAATAATAATAATAAAAATAATAACATAATAATAATAATTATTATTATTATTTTAAAATTACCTAGGCCACATTTAAAGGCTGGGTGGATATTATGAACAAAGCAGTAGACAGCAAGGAAGTAAGAATAATATTAATAATAAAATAATAATAAATTATTATTTATATAGTCATTATTGTTATTATTATTATTCATATAATCAATATTGCTATTATTATTATTGTTATTTATAAGCTTATTTATGCTTGTAATTAAAAAAAATTATTTGTCATCACTCACCTATCTCATTAAGATGTGTCAATTAGGACTTAATTGTCATAATAATGACGTAATTATTCACGAGAAATTTATTTTGACACCCTAAGCCCGGACTTCAACCGGAAAGAGAATGCAGGGTCTACATGTTTCTCTACTTCGTGTTCTTCGTGGTCTTTGGGTCATTCTTTACCCTCAACCTTTTCATCGGGGTCATCATTGATAACTTCAACATGCAGAAACGAAAGGTCAATAGAGAGATTATTTCATTATGGAAAGCAAATGGCTTCCCCAAGGCTGAATCTCTCCCAAATAATTTTATCTATATCTTCAGCCGGGGGTAGCCAAATACATTAGGGCTTAATCACCCCCCAAAAAATTTTTATACAACAGTGTCAAGCTTGAATATAAAAATTTAAATAGGGTGATGGTTCAATTGAACAAAATTTTAGCTAAGATTGTAGTAATTATAATTATAATTATTATTATTATCTCAAGGCTGAATCTCCCCCAAATAATTTTATTCATATCTTCAGCCGGGGGTAACCAAATACATTAGGGCTTAAATCAATCACGAAAATCACAAACTACATGGCCAAACCAGTATAATGTAAAATTAACTAATACTGTTATTAGCTTGACATATAGTATTTATTACGAGAGAAACAATGCATAATTAAATATATCTTTCACTCCTATGCACTTGCAGCAGCATCGAGCTTAGGAGGATCGTACATTTCATTAAAACTCAATTTTTATTAAACTTCATTTCTTATTTCTTATTGTTTTGAATTGTATTTCGTCGATTGAATAAATAAAATATGTTCATATTATTATTTTTATTATTGTTATAGGCCGGTGGCTCCATGCAGTTGTTCATGACGGACGATCAGAAAAAATATTACAACGCCATGAAGAAGTTAGGCTCGAAACAACCAAGGAAACCCATTCCCAAACCTAAGGTGACGATGATGATGGTGACGATGATAATGGTAATGCTGATGATGATGATGGTGGTGATGATAAGAATGATGATGATGATGATGATGATGGTGATGATGATAAGGATGATGATGATGATGATGATGATGATGATGATGATGATGATGATGATGGTGATGACGACGAATATTGAAATGAAGGCTGAGATGATGACTGTGATTACGCAATGTTCATAACGATGACTCATTTCATTCCCTGGCGTAATAATAGCAGACACTTAAACAAAACTTACACAAACAAGCAAACACACACACACAAACACACACGCATACACACACACGCACGCGCACACACGCATACACACACACACACGACCACCGCAGTTTAAATTCTCGGCCGTTATGATGAAAATCACAAGCAACCAAAAGTTTGATGTAGCGATCATGACGATAATACTACTGAACATGTTGACCATGGCATTGGAACATTACGAACAGCCAGATGAAATGACCACAATGCTGTCCATCATAAACTCCATCTTTATCGCGATTTTTTCTTGCGAGTGTCTGATGAAGCTGGCCGCCTTGAGGATATATTACTTCAAAGAGCCGTGGAATGTGTTTGACTTCTGCGTCGTTGCCCTATCCATACTAGGCACGTGTCGGTGTGGCGTGTGTCGCTTTTGTGGCGTGGTTGGTGTTGCTACCGCTGCTGCTGCTGCTTTTTTTTACCGCTGCTGTTTCTGCTGATGTTTTCAATTATGATTTTTAAAAGTTCAATATTGTTTCATTTTTAATTCATTTATCACTCAATTAAATAATTAAAAATTAAGTAATAACAGTACTAATACTACTGCTGCTGCTACTACTATTACTACTTCTGTTACTTCTGCTGCTGCTGCTACAAATGCTACTGCTGTTGCTACAAATGCTGCTACTACTACTACTACTAATGCTGTTGCTGTTGCTAAAATGAAACGTTTTAAAAGTTAAAACTGTCAAACCAGGCCTCGCGATGAAGGAAATTATCGAGAAATACTTTTTCTCACCGACGCTACTCCGAGTCGTCCGTGTTTTCCGGGTCGGACGGATACTTCGACTCGTCAAATCCGCTAAAGGAATCCGGACATTACTGTTTTCACTGGCGGTCAGTCTCCCGGCTCTCTTCAACATAGGCCTCTTGCTCTTCCTCATCATGTTTATCTACGCCATCTTCGGCATGTCTTTTTTCATGCATGTCAAGTATAACGCTGGCATCGAGGAGCTTTTCAACTTCGAGACCTTCGGCAAGAGTATGACTCTGCTTTTCCAGGTTCAGAGTTCAATTGTGCTAGAGTTTTTTTTTGGAAAATGATGATGGTGACGGTGATGACGACGACTATGCTGTTGATAATGACGATGAGAATGAGAATGACGACCATGATAATGTGAAAGATGATGATATGCCTTTAGAAATTCACGATCATTTTAAACTATTTTAATGTCCTCATGACAAAACACCTTGACATTATGTGATGACGATGGTGATGATAGAAATGATGATTGCTACGATAACGACGACGATGGATAACACAGATATATATCATAATTTCTATGAAATGATACCCAGATATCAACGAGTGCAGGATGGGACAGCGTGTTGGCCGGGATCATGATCGAAGCTCCCTACTGCAACCAAACATTCACGGAGAACAGTCCCAACGGGAATTGCGGGAGCAAGATGATGGGGGTGATCTACCTGGTGACCTATCTGGTCATCAGTTATTTGGTGGTTGTCAACATGTATATCGCGGTCATTTTGGAAAATTTCTCCCAAGCTACAGAGGATGTCCAACAGGGCTTAACCCAGGACGACTTCGACATGTACTACGAGGTCTGGGGTAGATTCGACGAAAAGGCAACTCAGTACATTCCGCTTACCGAACTATCAACACTTGTCGATTCTCTCGAGAAACCGTTACGGATACCGAAACCGAATCTCATGCGGTTAACCTACCTGGACATTCCAATATGCGCCGGTGGGATGGTGCACTGCATCGACATCTTAGATGCCCTGACCAAAAACTTTCTTGCTTACGACACAAATCATGTGCAAGACCTCCAGGTCGATATGAAAGGGGGCCCCGTCCGGGTAGGGTACGCCCCGGTCAGCTCCACCATGAAATGGAAGAGGATGGATTATTGCGCCAGGATTATACAGAGGGCCTGGAGGGATTACC